AATGTAACGATCAAATTTCAATGTACCAGTCAGTACACGAAATTTCTGTCGGTACGTCAAAATTTGATCAAAACGAAATTCTAAATTATTCCGTTTCGGTCCACTCCAAAAACTAGTACGTACCGACTGGTACGATGCAATATAGACTTCCTTGATAATAAACCCAAATAACCAAATAAGAAATAAATCTACATATATATATATATAATACTACTCTATGCATTAAATAAGGTATGCATTTATATATATTTAATATGTATTTAATATATAATATAATATATAAAAATAATATTTATTTATTTATTATTTATTATACAATTATTCATGAATATACTATTCATTTTGAATTAAATTATTCATATTGAGTTTCATGTTTATCTTCAATAGTATTCACTACCATCTTCAACTTAAAAAACATAAAGCAAATTTTAAAAAGAGAACTTGACGAGATTTATAACTCTAAATGTGATTAAAGAGTTTTAAATCATCTCCAAGAGTTTCAAATCTTTGTATGAAATAAAACAACAAATTATCATCAAAATATAACTTTACTTCATTATTACTACTAATAGTAGCTATGATCGATGACATACTAAAACAAAAAAAGAAGAGTACCAATTGATGAAAACTTAATAAAAATTTAAAATTTATAATTACAATAGTTAAAAACAAACCTGCAGAAATAAAAGCCAAAGATAATCAATCTGCAGAAATGAAAGCCAACAGCAAGGAGGAAAAAGGAGAAAGTTGCCAAAGATCTAGAGGTTTAAGGGGTAGGTGTTCTCATTGAGTCATTTGGAGGAAACCAAGTCTTTCCCATTTTTCTTTCCTTTTTTCCTTTAAATTTGTGTTTGTTTTGGATTAATCCTGATCCTTGATTAATATTGATCCAATCGATCCAACAGTTCAAGTATATTAGACATGCATTGCCACTCAACTCTCAATTCTACTGTTGGATTAAGTCAAACAGTAGCACACAGCGTGGATCAGTATATCCACTGTTAGATTTGTTATGAGCCAAAAGGTTGTAATTTAAACTAAGAATTTTTCTATGGAATTTTTTAAATGCACAAGATAAGTTTATATTTTTAACATCTTCATATTAAATTTGTTAGGACATTCAACCATAAATTATTAAATGCGTAGAATATAATGTATATCTCAATTTTATTAAATTTAGCATTTTTTTAATGTCAAGATGTTTTAATTTTTTTTCTTTTTTTTTAATTAATTTTCATTAAAAAAAAAATGACTTCAATTTTATCAATTGTACAATTAGCTAACGACTTAACTTACATTAAAGTGGAAGTGAGAGATTTCAAGTATAAGCCACATGGACGTGAGATAGATTAAGGGATCAAAGAGAATTACCTTCTCTTACCCAATTCAAAAATTCAAAAAATTCAAAAATAAAAAATATACAATTAAATTATTTTATATGATTTATTTGTT